TTTTACCTAAAAAAACGAGGGAAAATTTCTCCAGATCTGAGCTTCCAAAGGATTGGGATGATGAAATATTTGGAATTTGGAAGTAGAGAAGAAATAATCTGGAAGAGCCAGACGGATTGGAAGTGCTGGCCTGGATTGACGAAAAAATTGGTCCCCAATTTCGCTGAATTTTGGAGGCTATTTGGAGGACAATCTTCAAAGGTCTGATGAATAAGATGTAGAGTTCAAAACTGGAAATAGCTCGGTTGAATTTTTGTTGAAGGTGAAGAGGAAGATGTGAATGAATTTATGGAGAGTAATTGGAGAAGGTGGGCAAATTTATGGGGAGTAAAAGCTTCCCAGCGCTCACGGGTATACACCGAATATATTCCAATTCAAAGTTTTCAGCTTCTACTGTTTACTTTTGCAGATGGCATATGACCGTTGATAAAGTAGGCTTTTTCCTTTTTTTTGTGGACAACTGTCATTAAAAAGCGAGTTGCCAAATACGTGGGTAGTGAAAGAATTTGAAAAAAACGGGCCAAAAAAAGATCCAAACATAACCTAAGAGTTACTTTTATATACCAAGTCTCGGCTTCCCCAGTATATAAAAAAAATGTGACAATTACTCTATGAATAAAAATATGCTTAACTAAAAATAATTAACGTTTGATAACTAATGCTATTCTCTACACACTCCCTCAGAGTTTACAAAAATTTTGTCCCCCATACTGTTATCCAAAAAAAAAAAAGAAATATTTTCTATGTAAAAAAAAGAGTAATATTAATGAATTGGTTGATTGAGGTGGTAATTATAACTAGTGTTCTGTACTCGTGCATTCGCATAGGCTTAACCTTAATTAACAGCCACTTTCGTATAAATACTAATTAGATATTGATAAAACATTTAAATTTATCAAAATAATTTACCGGTACCATACGTTTTCTTTGGTGGTCTTTTCATTTTGAGTTGTTGTAGTAGTCGGCCGGTTCCACTTCTGTATACTATCCACTGCTGCTGCTTCATGTTTTCAGAGTATGTATTTCGGAGATGGGAATTGTTTTCTTAGTGCTATTGAGAGAAGTAGACATGGAATGGTTCTGGAACTCTACAAAGCATTTGAGCTGGGATATGAAGGTTTACGTTAGTTATTTCAAAAAATAATTGAGTTGGTTATTTTATTTCTCCATGATAAACGAATTGAATTGATTATGAACGGTGGTTATTTTATTTTGAAATGAATTTTTTTTAACAGAAAATTGATAGTTTCCATGTTTAGATATGAGTGGGTAGTTTCAATTGGCGATGACACTGGAGAGTTTTATTTAACAAAATTTAATTAAGTTTGGAATTTATTATTTTTTTGGAAAATAAATATTTAGGAAATGACAAGTGGACTCATTGAAGGAGAGCGTGATATATAGAATTTTAGGAAAGAATTGGTTTTTGTTATAACGGATATAAATAAATATAAATAAATAAATTTGTTATAATGGATATAAATATATATGTATATATATATACATATATATAGATTGATAATCAATATAAAAGGCAATTTTTGAGGTGGACAAAAGGAGAAAAAAACGGGTCTTTTAGCTCCGGAATATTTTGTTTTGGATTTGGAATAGGAATCTTCTTTTATTGTTGGCAACCGCAAACAACGTATATGAGCTTTTTAAGAATAGGCCAAATTCTCATTTTAATACTTTTTCTATGTAAAAAAAAGAGTAATATTAATGAATTGGTTGATTGAGGTGCTAATTATAATTGGCGATAGAGTAAGAAAAATAGGAAAATATTTATATGGAGTACAACATGAAGGGTTATAGAAGCTTTAATTTTCTTCACAGAATATGTGAACACTCAATAAAAAAAAATACATATATAATCACAATAATAGGGGGTGAGTATGGAATATCATTCTGAAGATATCATAATTTAAAATTTATTATTTTTTTTAAAAAAAATGTTTGAATAACTCAAGAAAAAAAACGTAACCAAAGTATCTATATTTATATACTATACTAAGGCAAAAACCAGAGAGAGAAATCTAAAAATATGGAGCACATGCCACATAAGATTTTATCCTATGTGGCAATTTTCTAAATTTTTTATGTATAAAACAAATAAAAAATGCCCAAGACATATATATACCCCGTTGTTCTGTTGGAGGAGAGGTTTCCTATCAGAATTTGAATTCAATTAGTAATCTCATCTCACTTTAAGGATATCAAATCTCAACCGATGTTTGGGATAACATTTGGGATAACGTTAATATGTAGGATATCAAATCTCACTTTTAAGATGTAGGGATTCAATTAGTAAATCACAACTAAATTGGGATAATGTTTCAGAATTTATTTTGCAGATTTTCATTAATAAAATTCCTATCACATGTAAAAGAACTATGAATCTAGAGGATACATCAATCAATCAATGGTGCGGAGCTATGGGGTTGTATGAAGGGTATTTGACAATATAAAATTTAGGAAAAGGAAAAGTAATCGCTAAAGTTGATGGTGAACCTGGTGAACGTAGGAGAGAAACAGCCGAATGCTCACTCAGGATTAGGGGGTAGAATCCAAGAACTCTCGCAACAGAATTGAACTGTATAACTTTTCATGTGCCTGGAGAAGCAAATAAGGGTGGAACTTCATAAAATGTACAATTTCTCCATGGTGGGTTGCAAAATTTACTTTTCTTAAAAATCATTGAAATTTTAATTTTTATACAATTTAATTTATAATTAATTGTGCATAAAACTTTCTTAAGAAAATTGTGCATAGAGCTAGCAATAATTAATTTGAGAAATAAAATGCTGAAAGAGTGCCATGTTAGATTTTATTTTATCGAAGGTAAAATTCTCATTTATAGAAGTGGGACGTTGGGCCATATTCAATATTTATCTAAAGTTCCTAATCCATGAACCTTCATGTTATTAAAACATCATGTTATTATAAAAAAGTACAACGGATATAATTCCTTTTTCAAATTAAAGGATTATCATTTTAATAAAATATGCAAAATATAGTAGGACTTATTTAATTTTTATAATGATGAGTTTGAAACCCACTCTTCTATTAATGAGCGGGTTGGCTTAGATACTGAACAACCATCTTTTTCATAAGTTAAACTAAATGTGGAGAAAATTGATACAAGATTAAGATAAAAATAATTAAATAATAATTACAAATAACTAAACAAAATAAAACTATAGCTAAAACAACTATACGACCAAACTTTGAAATTGTTTTTATTTTATTTTAAAATCAAACTTTACTCGGACAAAAAATGAGTAAGATGGCTTTGACATTAGTGAAAATGACCAAAAAGATACTAATCTGGAAAAAAACAGTTGAATGATATTCTTTGAAGAGTAAAAAGATACTTCAACCCTCACATTTAAATAAAATATTTTTGGCAACAGGTAAGTTAAAGTAAAATTAAATTTTTAGACAGATAATGAGAAATAACTAAATCAAACGAATAAATGGGTTAAAAAATAAAAAAATAAAATAAGGTAAAAATGCATCGTATTTTAAAACGATAAGAATAAGATAAAAGCACTAAAAATATAAATCACTTCAAGACAAGGAATAAGGTCCTGATATGCATTAAAAATAGTGATTTCAATTCAAAGACTAAGAATGTTGTCTGCAAAGAAGTATTGTAGGATATATAATCAATCAATTTGAAGTTCTTTCTTTTTCGTCTTTTTATATTGTTATTTATGAAATTCTTAACAGCCCTTTTTGTGTTAAATAAATTATCATTGTATTCATTTGGTAAAGTATTGTTAATGTTTGTGTTTTATACTTTCAATGAAGTCATTATATAGTTTATAATAATACAAAATCTATAAAAACTATTAATATTTTTTACTTCACTGATGTTGTAATGTCTATATGCGTATGTCCTCCCCGTCTATCAAACAGGTCTAACACCTAGTACAATTTTAATTTAGATTATATTTATTAAAGTGAAAAACACAAGGCGGAGACAATCTAGTAACAAAATAATGACGGAAAAAAAAGAGAAAATCGGAATGGCAAGAAAATAAATATGAAAGAAAATGTGACTATATCCAATATCTTGTTCGTGTAACAAGATAAGTTGAAGTGTCTGACCAAACTCACTTTTTTATACTCTTTCTCTTGGCTAAAATTCTTCTGCCGCTGTTTCAAAACGAAAATAGTAATAATGGAGAAATTTCAAAATTTAAAGAAATGAAAATTTAAAATGGAGAAGAGAATGATGCTGGGCATCCATACCGTGCCGTGACAGGAAGTGGGCGTTATTGTGCACAGTTGATTGAATCTATCTCTCTCCCATACCGAATTTTATCAATGGCGTCTCTGTCACTATTTCAACCATAAAATGCTTTTCTCCTTTACTATATATAGGAATCTCCTGTTCATTTCCACATGGCATCTCCGGCGCCTTTAATTCACCATCGCTCCCCGAAATTTCTCGCCGTTTCTTCCAGCTATTGTCACCAGAATACTGCTAACAATTCTTGTTCGAGTTCTTGTTCGTCTTTGCCCTGCCGGTCTTGTTCCTCTTCATCTCCAGCCGAGAATCGAAGGCGACGATTCAATTCCGATTTCATCAGTTTTTCCGGTAAGTATATTTTGGAATAAGGATTTTTTTTTTTTGGGTGCTCTTAATTTTGCCTTTTTTCCCTGGAAGTAATGCTGTAATCTAGAATTTGTGTAGTCATATACTGAGTGTCAAATTAGGTATTTTCTGTTCTTTTGTAACAAAATACAAATTTTGCGTTGTTATTGGTTGTTTATAATAATGATAACTATATAAATACTCAATCATTCGTCGATTGATTTTGCGTTGTGCACGTAAATTTCCTTTTCCCCGTTCTCAAGGAATTTGCGTTTTTAGCTGTTCTTTGAATTGATTGTAGAAGCTTCTTAAGGTAGTTTCAGACAAGAATTTCGTCAATTATTTGTATTGATAAGGACAAAGAAGTTCTTTTGAGAGATTGTGCAACGTCATTTCTCATTTTGACATCTGTCAGCTGAAAAGTGAGATTTTGATTTGAATTCGTTTTTGGCAACTGCATGTGGACACACATGTCACTTGTATTTTGGCAATCAAGGATTCCTTGTGACTTTCTTAGTGAAGGCAATCAAGGATCTTCAATGATAGTTTGCTTTTTCATAATATCTTCCTTGAAGTAATCTCAAAATCATCCTTAGAATGTACAGTTCCTTACATCCAAGCTATCCTTGAAAAGAAATACTGTATCATTGTCGTAAGAGTTAATTCTAAGTCATTTGAAGAAAAAGGCTTCAGAGCAAAAACCTTTGAATATGTTCGTTTGAGTAATTTTTGCACATGGCTTAGTGAACTCAACTCTTACAGGTTTTCCTGACTGTTATGCTGATTAAATTTTTATGGTCTCCATTCTTTTGAATTAGGTGCTAGTCATTTTGTTATATCATTGTATCACTCTTTTGGGCTGGCTCACGTTCTTCATTGCAGTTTTGCCTTTTGGGCCTCTGTTCCTCCCTCTCTTCTTTTTTCCTCCTCCTGTAGTATATATACATTTGTATACATGAAATTTTAATTTGAGGATTCTTTTTAAACTTGGAGTCACTTATTTCAGTTTGATAGTGCTGGACGAATCTTTGTAGGCATAAAGAAGATCTGGAAGCATCAAGCCCTTAAAGCTCACGATATGGATACAGCTCAGGGAAATTTAATGTCACCAAAGAGAATCCCTGGTTTCAAAAATGAACCAGATCATCTACTTGTCCTTGTTCATGGCATTATGGCAAGGTAATTGTGTTCTCTTCAGTTCTTTTACAACTTAAAAGAGAGATGTTGTACCTTTAATTAAAATTTGATCTGATTCACTGGTAATAGCATTCAAAAGCATAATACTGTTGGAATTTATTGGACGATGGTAATAAGTAAATTTTGATCTCGTATAAGACCTGAACATGAAATAATGTGATGGATGATACAATTGTTTGGAATGTAAGTTCCTTATTTCGTCTGAAGTTTTGATCTTATTTCAGGATGCTTTTCTTACTGGCAAATTATTAGCTCTTAGATTTAGCCCATTTGAAGTGAGAACAAATATCAGAAGTATCATTTGACTCTAGTAAAGTTGTTTCCCATGTATATAGGTTAAACATCATTAGGAGGGATGTCCTCAAGTAAACTGCACAAACTGAAGTAATTCGTTTGATCTTTTGACTGCCATGTGTAGATAGGATGATTCACTTGATGATTTGAAGGAAAACTGAATTGGGCATTTTCACAAAAGGACTTTGACATCTTTGTCCAATGTTGAGAACATGATGTGTATGCAAATAATATATATGTTTGATTTCCTCTGTTTATTAGATTTATGGTTATATAAACGCAAATTTCTTACTCTAAACTATTTTTAACACCTATTTTCATCTCACCTTCATGGTTTAGTTATTGTGACCTTTAAATTAAAGTTAACAAGTCATGTTTTAGTATACTCTTTTCATGTACTGCCTCTACTTTTCCATTATTCTTTAAACTACTTTCTGTAAAATTGTGTTGTTTAGTAAATGCTATCATTTAGCACCTTGTTCATGTATTGCTACCATGTTACGGCTTATTTTTCAACCCTGGTTCAGCAATTGCCAAGTTGTTAAGTTGATTAATGTTCCGTTATTCAAAGTATGTCCTGGTTTCCTTTGTTTATCTGTGGAAAGTTTGTGTTTGCCTTTTTTGTTCCATATTTTGTGTTTTATTTACTTTGTAAAATTAGACATTTTTAAGGATGACTTACATAGATGTTAGTGCTTCTCATTCATTTTTCTAATTGATGTAGCCCTAGTGACTGGACATATGTAGAGTCAGAATTGAAGAGACGTTTGGGACAAAGGTTTTTACTATACGGTATGGTAACCTCTCAAATTGTCAGAGTTCCTTTTCACTTAAGCTAACACTCAATTCCAGTTCTTTTAATGTTTACTTATCCTTCTGCAACGGGTTGGCTAATATAAAATGCATGGTTAAAATTATTAATTGATTGAGACTTCTCGTCCCTAGAATGGTTTTTCTAATCTGGTGGAGAATTTTTTATGCGTATCTCTTAAGCAATTGCTTATGAATTTCTTTTTCCCTTATGGATTATGTAAAAAAAAGAACATGGGTCAATATTTGACATCTGTATATTGGTTGGATTAAAAGAGTAAAACGGCATGTATAATGCATTGTATGGCACTCTAAATGCTGAAAGGTCACAGATGTATATGAAAGTTGCAACATGGTTCTTGGAAGCTACAAATGTGTGTATTCTTTTGGAGTGGGACAGAGTCAATGAAACCTCTTTTAAGAGATGACTTTTTCTGGACCTGTTTATGACCTTACTCTGCTAGTTGTACATTCGTTACTTGTGAATGCTGTAGCACACGGATGCCTGACTCTAGTAATCTGTTTTCTTAATTTTGAAACATGCATACATGTATCTTTTCACTTCTATTTTTCTTTGGAACTATCTTTAGTGCTAGCTTTTTGTCTTGTAATCTTTTAAGTTTTCGTTCTTTATTTTTTTTCATGTATATAAGAGCCATTCAAGTGTATACTTTTGAATCTAGAAACACCATGTGTCATTTGCTAGTACATCGAACCAATTGTGCAGTATTATCTCTTTCCTGGTGTTTGATTTCTTGGTTTCCTATGCAGCTAGTTCTTCTAATAGCTATACAAAGACATTTACTGGGATTGATGGTGCTGGGAAAAGATTAGCAGATGAAGTAAGTTCTATTTGGTGAAAAGCTTTTGTTCTATTTAGTGAAAGGCCTTTTTTTTTTATTTTGGCTAAAAAGAATTATGCAGCACAGAGAGAAAGGTCTCAGAAACACTGGTGCTGTTTCGAATTTCTGCTTGGTAATGTGCTATCTGAAATACTGACCTAATTATAGTCTTCCATCATTGCTAAAGGGACCTGGCAATCCATTTTACATCAGACTGGACTCCTATCCTTTATTCTTGTTTTATTATCATTTTTAACCTTTGATTCTAGTGGTTGTTTTCCCCAACTTGTGAGTGTAGACTTTTTTAATAGTTAAGCCTATCATCCAGCATTACCATCCCTTTCAAGCTCTAACTTCCTTGTTAAAGGACATCTTAGTTGTGAAATTGCATTTGCCTCCTTGAAATCCTTGCCAGAGATTCTTAAGTTTTTCCGCAGATTTGTTTGGGTATGTAATGCTAAGAGATCATTTGATGTAGGAAAGTGTAGGTAGCTTCATGTTAGGTTTTATGGTATATCCAGGAACTTCATGGTACTAAGATTCACTTTATTTTGCATTCCTGTTTTAAACTGTACTACTTTAGTTTAGTTTAGTCTTATTAGTTCTAGGTAACTACTAACCTAATAGCTTAAATCTATTTGGTTTTGAGGCGTTGCAGTAGCTGTAATTGAACGTTTGGTTTATACTGAAGCTTTGTTGACTTAAAAGAATATGTCTTTGGATCCCTACGGCTAGGATTTGTTCTTCTCACTCCTATGATTTGATTCAGTCCCTTGTTCTCATCATCTTTGATGACCTGTTGATTGTGTCCTGCAAAAATCTGGGATGGTATCTATCTATATCAGTTTCTTTGGCCTATTTCTCTTCAGCTTAGTTTACTGGATCACTTGTTTACTCAGTTTGCAGCTGTTGCAATGGATATACAACCTTATTATGCTGCCAAGCATTTATTTTTAATGTTATCTGTGCCCTCGTGACAAAACAGGAGACCGTTGTTCATATGTGTGTCTTGATGTAGCTGCTTGCATGTTTGGATGGTTCTTTCGCACGTACAGGAAAAGGGAATGGAGTTTAAATGATATTTATTGTTGTTTTTTCTGATGGAAATGTTTTTCTCAGTTTTCTATGAGCAAGTTATCCATTTGCTGACAATGATTGTTTTATCAGTAATAAGCACTGATCTTCTTTGATCAAATTTTGAGCAGGTGCTGCAGATTGTTAGAAAAACGGAATCTCTGAAGAAAATTTCCTTCTTAACCCATTCTCTGGGTGGATTGTTTGCCAGATTTGCTGTTGCTATGCTCTATTCACCAAATAACGCTGTTGATAATGCTGTAGAGACTTGCACTTCTTCCGATACAACTTCCAAAACCATATTGTTTCCTATGGGAGGATCAATTGCTGGGCTGGAACCTGTTAATTTTATTACATTGGCAACTCCACATCTTGGAGTGAGAGGGAGGAAGCAGGTAGTTCCTGTAATATCTTTTGTGTGTGTGTGTGTGTTTGTGTGTGTCTGTGTGTGTGTGTGTGTGTTGTGCTTTTTTTCTGCCTGGTTAATATAGGTACCATTTTGCTTTACCCGCCCGGGGAGGGGGAGGGGTGTTTTCCATTTTTGGTGGCCTCCTTATTGGAGTTCGAGTTTTCTTCCAAAAGGATTTGTTTTTACTCTGCGCCAGTATGCCTTTTCAATTCTTCTCTCTGTGCCAGTATGCCTTTACAATACTTCAAATGCTTCGGATGATTTGATGTACTCTGCAGCATTTGATTTCTGAAATATGTCATTCTGCTTTGAACTTTGAAGTTGGTGTGATCCAAGGACCTCTTGTACAACTTCAGTATATTTTTGGTCTACTCCTGCTTTCTTCTTTTCTTCTGGAACTTTTGCGTCTCCTCCAATTTTCTGATTTGAGAAATTAGAAGAAAACCTTAGCATGTACAATAGGCAAGGAAATACATAGCACAATTAAGGTGAGGTAGAGTGTATCTACTGCAGTTGCACAGGCAAATCATAGGGGCAGTATGTAAGAGCAGTAGAAAAATTCTTTAATGTGCTATTTACAAAAGTTTGGTTTTGTTGATAGATAAATTATTTTTGGTCATCGTGCTAATGATCTAGCCGACTGCACATGATGGGATAAATATTAAGTTGAGGAGAAATCTCATACGTGTATGTGGTACTTCAGCTTGCGATTATTATGTACACTTATCCCAGCATTTGTTCTGCGAGGTTGATCTTTTGGACCTGCAAGATAGTTGAACAGGATGATCTTTAGCAACACTTTTTGTAGCTTGTAAACTGACTTTTCTTTCACAAACCAAAGTTTTCTTTCAAAAGTGATCAACTTTCTGAGAATGATCATTATTGGGTTTGTTGAAGAGTTTGGTCAATGTAACATCTATCAGCAGGTGATTACAAGAGTATTTCTGTCTTTATCTCCATTTTACGTTTGACGATTGACATGATTACATATGTGATTATAACCTTGAATTTGTCGTTCTTTAATGGTGGTTGAAATGATATCTTAAGCGATGTGATGAACTGTTTTTTCCAAATGGGGTTATTATGCGTTGAAGCTTGTTAGTCATTTGTAAAAGTTTATTGTATCGACATATCTGAGTGCATTTTGTCAACAGAGGTTGTGGGCTAGCTAAGATATGGGTTTTCTTCTTCCCCAATCTCATTGTTTATACTTCAGTGTACCCAAATTAAATGATGGTCAGGTGTCAAATGTTTAATTTTGAACTGAGACTTGAAGATTAAACACTGTAATAACTTTGGCTGAATGTAACTAGAACCTTGCTCTTGCTTTGCTTGATGAGAACCTAGGTAAGGACTGCCTATGAATGGAGAGGTAGTGATTGCATCGATTAGAATATGTTCCACATTTGAATTTGTTCCATGAAGTTTGACCAGAAAAATGAAGCATTTCATCTTTTTGCTTTCCTAGAGTCCCTTGTATAAAAGATCTCTTTACCCTTTTAAAAAATATGACAACTTAGAGAAGTATGGGTTTTTGTTGTGTTTGTATGATTATATTTTGAATGCGTAGACAAAATCGATGAATTTATCAATTCAAGTTTTGATTGTTAATGCTTGAGTTCGTGCTGACCTCCAGACAGCTTATTGTTTTATGATTCAGCTTCCATTTCTGCTTGGAGTTCCATTTTTGGAGAAGATTGCAGCCCCACTTGCCCCTATTTTTGTAGGCCGAACTGGCAGTCAGCTTTTTCTTACTGACGGGAAACCCGAAAAACCTCCACTTCTGTTGCGTATGGCATCTGATTGTGAAGATGGGAAGTTTATGTATGTTGAATGATCGTTTTTACTTTGAAGCATCTTGGTTTGATTTCTGTCGATATCCTTTTTGCATTTCTGTCGACATCCTTTTTGTGTTTCTGTTGACATCCTTCCATGCTTCTTGTCTTGTAACAGATCTGCTCTTGGAGCTTTCAAATGTCGTATCATCTATGCTAATGTATCATTTGACCGTATCCTACATTTGTTCTATTCATCTCTTTTAACTAGAATGTACTGGCTTCTGTTTTGCACATTTGATTCCATTACCTTCGATCTACTAGTTTTTAAGTTGTTAGAGAAAAAACTTTAAGCAAGTTTGAATGAATCGAGAAAGGGCATTCTATAATAGTTATTGTAAGATAGCTGTGAGACTAGTAATGCATTATGGATTGTTGTGCTTTTGTATTGATTACAAGCAGAAGCATAAAATCAGTGTGCCTGAAATGAGATGTTGAGTTTTATATGTGAGCACAATTGATTATGTTAATACACATTGAATGTTTTTGGAAAGAAAATGTGGATGTCCCCTATAAACGAGACAAAAATCCTTGCTTAGGTGGTGTAGATTTCTGGCCAGGAGAACAATGTAATGGGAATGTCTGAAAAGACTGGTAAAAACTATCAACAAGATATGTTGAAGGAACATGAAAGTGAGATTATAATTTAGCTGATAGAGAGGAGTTCTTCTTGGGTTCAGAGCCATATTCACTTCATTGTTTACTTCCTTAACGTGGTATAGATATGGTTGGGTGGCGTACTTCGTCAATAAGAAGAGAGACTGAACTTGTCAAGGTAACTACTAGTTTTTTCAGTATATTTAATTATATTAATTGAGTTGGTTGCTGTGGGATCATGAGGAATGCAAAGGAGCAATGTTTTTATGAGCAACTGTTTTGCATGTTGTTTCATACGCACTTGTTCCTTGTTTGAAGCTCAATCTAAAACCAAAATTAAAGATACTAAAAGAGCAATAAAAAGAAGAATAATAATAGGGGAACAAACAAGAAATCGGTTTCTTAATTTGATGCGTATTATCTGTCTTTTTCTCTCTAGTTGATAACGTTAACCACTAACCGCATAGCTCAGAAATGTTAGTTTTTTATAGTTAAGAGTTGCTGAGTTGAAAATCTTACATTAGTTGACTTATCTTTGCGCTCATGGAATTTAACTAGTTGACGAGGCTAAAGGCATCAAAATAAATTTTGGAAAAAGTGGTAGTGATTCTACGATTTCCTTAATTACATATGAAACACTATTCTTTTATTTTGGAGCTAGAGAAACCATACTAGTTTTTTTCTTAATACTCCCTTGAAACACTGCCATTTTCTATAAATTGGAAGAAATAATAGCTTAGACACTCATGCTTCTTGTTTGATTGGTTATCATTCAAGATCAAGCATGTTTTATGCAATTCTTGTCCCTTCAGTGTAGAATCAAATAGTTAACTAGGTTGCCTCCTCAATTGGTTGTCTTTCTTAGTTTCTCTTATTTTATGATTAGAATTCTATCAGTGAGCTTGATATACACTAATCTTGTATCAGACCAAGAGAATTTCTTCATGAATTTCTTAATTTTAAGTTATTATGTGCTCATTATAAAGATGTCACAACCTTTCTACTGTCATTATAGTTTATAATTATAAGTTACCTTTTCACTATCAACTTCTTTATTGTTTCAAATGTATTCTACCTCCCGTAGTGGGACTTCTTGTTGTATCGTTGTTCCAAATCAACTCAGTGGCCATATTTTATGACCTTGGCTGGGTCAACTCATCAGTTTACTGTCACTTTTTATGTTACTCTCGGATCTTTGATACTCTTTGGTGAGAAACATTGATTCTTCTGCTTACTATATTTTGGCAAAGTTGATGAAAACATTATGTTAAATCATGGCACGGTGTAAAACTACTTTAGTAATGTTAAATCCTCTCACAGTTAATAATTTGACTGATTCTTTGTGGTCTTGTATTTTATCAATGTTTACATTTTTTAAGAGCCTTCCACCCATACGATTACTTTTTTATCTCATCTAAGTTAACTACGCATTGTGTTTCCTTGAACTAGTATTGGTTAGAGGTAGCTGGATTGTCAGAAGCTAGGTCGTTGAATATAAATGATTCCTGTGCTTAAATCCTGCGAAGTTTTTACCTCTTTCTTTCCTATCTCTTGGAATCTGACAGTTCACTTTTTGATGCTCTTCTCCATGTGTGATGCACTGCACTTGAAGAAGAGCTCAGTTCCTTTCAAATAGAGAAAATAGATGAAATCCAATGTCCACTGTGTAGCAGTTAATGCAGTGAAACTGAATCCTTCCACCTGATTTAGATTCTTTGTGGAACCCTTTTCCATTTGGTTCTAGCTACATTAGTTTTTGGAATTTATTTTTAGAAGCAAAGTCTTTGAAACATTGTCTGATAATTGATTTTGAAGCAAAGTTTGCATATTCTTGAATCCTATAAACTTCAATAATACAGTTGTTAACTCGTTGAAATTCGAATCCTGTAGAATGGGTTCAAAAATTTGTTGTGATCTTTGGTCCTTTTGTTTTTCTTTACTCGAAAATGAAATAAAGTTTTTTGGGTAAAAAAAGTTAAATTAAAAGATAGGTGTTGTACCTTATTTTACAAACATTCTAGATTGTCGACCCACAATTAGTCTTCCAAGAGTTTCTGTCCCCTATCCACTGCCAGGTGGTTCCATGGGCTAGCTGTTTGGACATTGGACTTTGAATCCAATAGCAGGAATTAAAATCTCGGTGGAGCCTTTTTTTGCTCTTTGAGATAACCGGGTTGTCTTAACTATGCCATGCAGATCATTTATTCAACTGTTAATTGCAATCTGCTTTGTATATATTAATTTTGGGGAAATGTTTATTGTTATTGTTTTTATTAAGTGCGAAATCATATTCAAATCTTAGTAGAGCCTTCCACCGTTTTATTTCGTGTAGAAAGGCTGTCTGATTTTCTTTGCGAAAAGAAAGAATTGAACTAGTTGACCTCAACTTCTTTCCTTGCATCTGTTACTAACAGTCTAGGGCCAGTTTTAGGATATTGGACTATGAATTCAATAGGTTGAGTTCGCGAATCCTGTGAGTTCCTGCTAAGATTTCGGAAAATTGGTGCTAGGATTTCACTCATAACAAAGAGATTCTCAAGTTGTAGCCCAGGTCTAAAGTGCTTGGAAAATAACATTTTTATTTTGATGGGACCCTGTCATAACAGATGGTTCCATGGTTTAGTTGTCAGCATGTTGGAATATGAATCCAGTAGTCTCAGTTAAATTAATTTTTCTAAGTTGATGTATTGGTATTGAAGAAAAACTGTGTATGCACTTGTATCTGGTGATTGATGGCTGAGTGTATAAACCAATCATATATTTGGTTGAACATTTTCATCTGTCGTACGATGGTAGGGTCTGAATGGTAAAAAGATTGCCTTGATGTATAAGCCTAATTTGGAAATGTATACAGGGTATTGAAGATTGTGCAAATAAGAAAATGAAAACGGCTGACCAAAGGGAACGTCAACTTTGTTAAAAGTCAGTATATTTCAGATGGTATGCCTTTTTTAAACCAATTAACCCTCCATCTCTTTTTCAGGGGGAGGAGATTAGTACCTTGGACTTGCATCCCTAGAGTCTGAATATTAATTCTCTTTGATACTAATGTGTTTTAATAGTTTAATTAGGTAAGTTTGATAGAATCTAAAATGATTCAGAGTGTTTGGCCTTAGGATCTTCATTATTCCTCTCGGAAATTTTTTTGCAAAAGAAATTTAAAATACAAATTTTTAATTTGACTGCTTCCTGTAAACCGATAGTAATACTGATGTATCTGTATCAATGGATCATGAATTCTGATAACATCCTGAATTCTTATATAAAGTTATCCAGGTCTGATATAACATACAACATTTTTCAGATCAATATTATTCTTATTATAAAAGATTCTTTGGGACCTTCTAACCATGTGGTTTCATGGTCTAGTGTTACGACATTGGACTCTGTCCAATAGCCCTGAGTTCAAATCTTGGTGAAACCTTTTTTCCTCTTTTTCCTTATAGCAGATCATGTTGAATATTAGTTTGGAAGCAAACTTATCGTGAAAAAAGTTGTCCAACCTCTTGTCATTGTTAGAGGTTCCATTGCCTCATGGTTGCAACATTGGAATCTGATCCCAGGAGCCCATATTTCAAAGTCAGATGGACGGTTCTGACCATTATGTCCTTGAAGTTAAAGTCATCCACATTGATTTTGCCCCGAGTACATTGTTCTTTTGAAATTCCTTTGTCAAAAGGCTTGAAATATCCATCTTTCTGTATCTGGTTCCATGGTCTAGAGGTTAGGACATTGGACTTTGATTCCAATAGCCCGAGTTCAAATCTCGGTGGAGCCTTTTCCACCTCTTACTCCCCCCTTTGGTATATTTTTTTTTTTGGTTTTCTACTATGACTACTATTAATTGTTTCTTTTTTTGGGTGCATGTAACTGTTAGTAGGTTCCATGTGTTCTCTCTTGATGTTGCTTCCTCAAAATATCTTCACCAATTTTGATTCATTGTTGTAAATGGTAACTTCTTAACTGTAATTTTTTAAAAGTTATATGATAAAATCTTTAAAAGAAATATTGAAAATTTTGGCAAGTGTTAAGTGATGTGGCCTCTATTAAGCCACTGTCATAAAGCTGTAGTACTTGTAACTGCACATCCCTCATTATCCTGCTTCTCTCTATTGAAGAAGTTGTTGTTTTCTCCTGTGATGCCTGCTTTTCTATATTTTCTATACTTCATTCAAATTTTGTGTAAGTTTTGTAAACGACTATAAAAGGCGTATTGAAGATCGTAGGAAACTTGAAATAAAAACATGAAACAAAAGAGGACTGTACTGATCCATGTTATCTTTAAACCAGAGTAAATTTCAGGTTCAATGGTTTTTGTTCTTTAAATGGCATTATTGCTTAGTATGGCATGCAATTAATGTTACTTAGTTCGACAATTTTCTCGAGAAATTAGTTTGATTATCTGTTTTTTATCCGGGAACATCCAGCATTTGCAATATTTCTTTGCCATTTAACTTCCTGTGGAGTTGGTTATCTACTTTTTCTAATTATTTTTTTGTACAGTACTCCCTATGTCTCACAAAAATAGTCCAAATTATAATTTGTGAAAAAAAAGTACTATTCACAAAATGTAATGTGGATTATTTTTCTAGGACGGAGGGAGTAATACATAATTTTGAATGTGACCTCCTGCCTCAATTGCTTGTTGTACTGTGCATCTCAAATCCTGACTTAGAATCTAGTAGAACTCCTTATGCCCTAGGTTCTGAAATAAGATTCCTTAGAATTGGATGCTAAATAAGATTATTATTTGAAGTTGTCCATGTCTGTTGTGGTCAGAAATGACATTTTTCCTATCGAGATTCCTATCATTAAAGATTGGATGGGACGTATCACCATGTGGTTCCATGGTCTAGTGGTTAGGACATTGGACTTTGAATCCAATAGCCCGAGTTCAAATCTCGGTGGAACCTTTTCTCTCTCTTTTTTTTTTCCCCCTAATGCAGAGGTTGTCGCAAATTTAGTGCTGTACAAAAACTGCAAGTTGGATTTTTTTTTTTCCTTTTTGGTCTAATGGTTGCGACATTGGGATCTGACCCCAGTAGCCCGACTTCAAATTCTAATGGAAAGTCTGCACTTTATGGTCCACGAAGTTTAAGTCATCCTACATTGGTCCTTTGTCCAAAGGGTTGTAGTCATCCATTTTTCTGTAGATGGTTCCATGGTCTAGAGGTTAGG